GCTTGGTTTATCTTGTGTGGATAGTCATCATGAGCCCTCTGTGCCTACAGCTAAGTGATGTGGCAGCATTTAACAGTGAAAAGTAAGCAGAAGTGCCAGCTATGAAATGGTTTCTCAAGCCAGCCATTCTTTGCTCACCTAGTAGAAGAGCTAGGCACATGAGCATCTTTCCCTCTCCATAAATCTCTGGGAGTGTGTTGGTCTTCTGACAAAGACAAGGAACATCGGCTTATGCCTGTCTCTGTCTGATCCATCTATTGACTTGATTGGGGATTTCCCAGTGAAGTTTGGCCTCTCTATGAAAATGTATCTATTCCTCCCTTCTTCTGCCAATAGCTATTTATGTAGCCCTTTGCATCTTAAAAGACAAGCTTTCTTATTTTTGTGGTATGGTAGTTTTTTACTTGCCATTTACGGAGTGCCCTGCAACAGAGTACGTACTTTAAATTGTGTTGTTATTAGCATTGTCACAAAGAGCTCTTTCTGGATCTGTGACAGCAGATATTAACCTTGCTTTGCAGCTCTGTGATATAGGGCTGAGACCACTATGTAAACCGAGGCACTTGATGAAACAGCAATTTCAAAATACAAGCACAATTTAGAAGTCGTGTGACAGGCAGACTCCACTAATTGTCACCCATCTCTTGTATATATGCAAAGGTGCACCTTTTTGTGGCAGTAGTTATGCCTATTTAGTGGGTTTGGGTGTTGATGCTTGGGGGTTATTCAGAATGTACGAAATCGTACTTTCTGCCAGGTTCTGTATATTTCATTTGTAATGATCAGCTATTAAAGTTTTTAAATAGGGCACTTTTAGGGTGTTTTCTATTTCTGGTGAATTACCTTGAACTTACTTATGCAAAGGCTCCTTTGGACTGCAAAAATCTCTCAGGCTAAAGGCATCTGAGGAAGAACACAAATAGGGCTTGTATGATGCAAAGAAGTTTTCAAGTAAATGAAAATCAGATTCACTAGCTACAAGGTCTTTGTGTTTATCTAGCAGAGTAAAAAATTGAGTGGTTTAAAAAGAAGCAATAGACTTTTCCCGGGGGAGTTGTTAGCAGAAAAGTGCAGGCAACACTACAGCTCACCCCATGAGCTTTTATTCATGGATCCCTTCATAATTCTGTTTTGGGTTTTTTCTCACCCCACCCCCAACCCAAGTGTACTTGGAAAGTCTAGGACTCTGAAACCTGAAGTTTACTGCAAGCACACACAGAGTGCTTTTAAGTATGACATTCCCCCTCTCTCTCCTGTTTTCCTGGTCACCCTTCCATTGGCTGATTTGCAGTTTTAAAATTTGAGAATTTTCTTCTTAATTGCTGTTCCTCCTTTTTCCACAGCTCAATGCCAGGTGGCTTAGTATTCCCTATACTTTAATTAACTTTGTCAGCCTTATTTGACATTGTAGCAAGGTAAGTGGTCTTGCTATACTATCCGAGTACCTTGCCAGATGGCAACAGGGGAATTCTTCAGTACTTGTGAATTAGTTTGATATCACCTGGCAGTGAGAGCTTACTTATGGTGTAAGATAAATGTTCAGCACCAGCACAGTGATTTTGCTGTGTATTCCATGTAATCACCATACGCAGCAGATAATTATCTGATTGTGTTTGTGTCTTAGCATGAAATTCAAAAAGATCCTTAAGAAAAAGCTGAACACCTCTTCCAGATGGCAATGAAAACTTTCTCTGGCTGCCGGATTATTGTAAAAGAGGATAGTCTTCTTGCAAGAGTAAAGCACACCACCATGGCAATGCTTTAAGCCACTGCTGGTTCAAGGCAAGAGATGACAACATTTCTCATCTTGCTTAGATTTCAGATACACTCTCTGTGACAGCTGGCTTCCTACTCGTGTACCTCTGAAAGCACCGTAGATTAACGCAAAGGTTATGTAGATGTCTGAAAAAGGTTTGGTAAGACTGAAAGAATATCAAATAGCAGAACTCTGCTGAGTACTAAATCTAGTCATTTTGTGGTGAAAATGACAACCAAGGACTTACGCAAGTGCTGGAAGAACAGCAGCATGTTGCTGTGTGGTCAGTGTGACCTCTGTTCATTATAGCCAGAACACTGCTGAAAAGGAGCTAAAAAAAAAGGCATCCCTGAACTGAACATAGGAAGGTAACGCTGTGGCAGCTCTCACATTATAGATGAACATACAATTTAGTGAGAAGTAATAGTGTCATAAACCAGCAGAAAGGTGTAAGTTAGAAGCAAAAAAAGATGTTAGGATTTTGAATCCAGCTCCTGCTAGTAGAGGACTGCTCCCTGCAGCACATTTTCTCATACTTTGCCTAGTCTGCTTTTAAATGCCTTGCGTAATACCAGTTTCTATAATTTCCCCTGGGAGGAAGAGATGATGTTTAGTACCTCTTTTGTCAGGAAGCTGCTGTTGGTACCTGCTTCTCTTCTCCTAACTCCATCTCATTACTCTGAGTGATTCCCTGCGCAGCACTGAACAAAGATGTTCTTCCTTTCTGTCCTTAGTCTGCAAAGGGATGGTTACTGGTGGGGCCTTTATGAGCTCCTGCATGGCTCAGAGGGGCCTGAAACAGACCCAAAGGCGAGTCGGTGGGAGCTGGTCTCTCTAGGGAGCAGTCCAAACTTGAGGGAGGTCCTATACCCAGTGTCCTAGGGCCAGCTTCGGCACAGTCTCCCTCTCCGGCAGCTTTGGTATAATATGCCACAGATCTTCCATGACAGAACCTAGCATCTCTTTTTTGACCACCTGTAGCCCCTGGCATGGCTGTAAAGGAGATGGGATACCTGTAGGCAGCAGCTGCTACCTCCCTTAATCAGAGATTGTCCATGTGATAGGAAACAGGAGCTTTGAGGGTTCCCTAATTCTCATACTTTTTCAATAGGTCTACTTTTCTTCAATAAATAGGCATGTACCACATCATAGGTCCCTCTTCATTCTACTCGTTCACATATACTTAGACACTCACAGCAGGCAGTCGCAGGATTATCTTAAATTTTGTCTCTGAGCTATATTGCACAGTCCCAAGTGGGTTGTGTCCTGCCCCACTCCCTCCATTTTGGGAATTCTTGCTCTATAGTATGGGGCACACTCAAGGTTTTCCAATGCACCTGTTAGTTTTCCCAAGTCCTGGCACTGGGTTTTCTCCTGACAGTAAATACTGTCGACATTCAGTAATCTGGCCTTGAAAGCACCTTAAACTACAGTGTAAAACCAGCCAGAGTCTATTCTAAGCTAATTCAGGTCCATGTGCAAACTCAGGGGTTTATTTTTCACATCTTTCACATATTTGTTGACTAAGAGCCCCTTCTCTGACATCTGCTGAGATGCACAACCCATTTTTCTGCCTAATAATATCAAATGACAATCTGATATATACATTTTACATTACTGAGTTAGTTTCCACAACCTCTAATAGGGTTGTTTTGGTTTTTTTTTTAGGTTTTGAATAAAATCCAGTTTGCCAACAACTTTGTGCTACTGTGATGCGTTTAGAAGAATAGAAATACCATGTGATGGCTCCAGTAGGTTCAGTCCAACATGGCTATTGGGTTTTGCACTCATAAACATGGGTGGGTGGAAGCAACAGTAGCAATAATAGGAAAAATATCATGCGACCTTACACAACTTAATAAGAACTGGACATATACTAAAAAGAGCATACGAAATATATTTTTCCTTGTTCCACTTTAACCATTCACTTACTTGAACAAGATCTTTATACAAATGGCTTTATCCTGTGCAAAGGAAGAGTTTAACAGATCTGTTTATGAAGACACTGTCAACATCTTGATGTGGCTGACTCGACTCAGTAACTTTTTTTGCATGTGTATTTAGCAGTCCTTGATGCAAACTCAGGGTGGCACCACTCCAGATGTGAGCAAAACAGAAAGAGCAGGGCTTTCTCTCCTATTCCTACTGCCCCTTTCCAAGACTTCCATGCCTGCATCCACAGATACTTTAATGATTTGGTATTTTTTACTTCACTGTCATTCACCAACTATTTGTTCAACTTATGAGAAATTTGCATTCCTGAGAAATTTACAGACTACAAAGATTTGTATCCATAACGGAAGATAACTTTTACAGGCGTGCTCTTTGTAACATTTTGTTCTGCTAAACTACCAGCCCAAAATACTCACTAAAGCTTTAGTGACTCTTCATTGCAAAAATTGCTATCCAGTCCTGAGAATATATTGCTGATGTTAATGGGTGGGCTATGACCCAACAGTAGTAGTTTCATAAATTACTAATTTTTTATTGTTACTATCATTCAGTGTTTCCAAAAGAATAACAGCTCTGCTACATTTTGAAAAAAATAAATAAATTGGATTTTTCAAAAATTCACCACCAGTTAAGCAGAAGGTTGCTTCTAGCAGGTTCCTTCTGCAGCTGGGAGAAGACTTACTAAATGGTAATCACGGAGCTTACTGCAGAGTTGTGTACAAAGTTTAGGCATTGTTTGAATTTTCTGAGAATTTCTCCAGTTCAAATAATGTATCCTATTTATACATCTTTTGTCCCTATGTTGCTGTTATTATAAGAAAAAGCAAGATTTCTGAAGAAATAAAACAGACATCATTGGGTTTTAATCACAATTGATTGGTAATATCACTAGCAAAGGTATTTATAAACTGAGAAATAAAGAGTGCCTTTGAAATATTAAGAAAAATACTAAATCTGTGGCTGAATGATTAACTACTATTGAAAGTTTCTGATTCCACTAACCTTACCATTGTGCTCCAAATCTTTCTCTTTAATCTATGGTGAAAATGTGTATCTCAGTGCAGGAATGGCTTAATAAATTTAGTTGAGGAATGAGAATCGTATAGTAGCTTCAAGTATATAACAGCCATGTCAAGTTAGCATTTATTCCTTGGTTTGTGAAACTACTAAAAGAGTAGAGAAGTTATCAAAAATCTAGACAAAGTTAACAGTTTTGATGTTTGTGCTTTAGAGTTTTTAATATGAACGTTGGTAAGCATTGAAATCAAACTGCACTCAAATGAAAGCAAACTTTGAACAAATATTTTGAAATAATTTGTTCTCCAAAACAAGCACTATCATTTGTATCGTTCTTACCTGCAGATGTTTTCACAATTTCTGAAGTATTTCTGAGACCCATAAAGTCAAACTGATAGAGTCTCCAAGATTTCTGATCAGCAGCCTCCACTGAGTTTTTCCTCCATCTGTAAATCATTTCCTCCTTAGGGTAGCCATCTAGAAATTAAATATATACATACATATATAAAAAAAATATTGCATTTCACAAAAAAAGGTACTGCAAAACAGGATCTGTTCACTGATTTAGAGCTATTTGGGAATACCTAAATATCTGATCCAATGCTTTCTCAGGAAGTTTTGTGGTATAATTCAGGTAAAGAGTTGTATGGTACATGAAAGTAGAGTCACAATACTGGCGAAACTATGATTTTTCACGTTCATATTTTTTTTCAATGGAGAAAAATTTTAATTGGTTCTATCAGAATCAGAGTTCTTCAGTGATGCAATTGATTCAACTAATTTGAGGTCCAGACACAGAAGTATGCTGCTCTACATATGCTCTGAAGAAGCTGTGCAAACCAATATTATGGAAAAAAAAGGGAGTATGTCAGTGTAAGATGTAAATAATTGAAAAGCGATAATAGTTCTAATGTGCTGTATGCTACTGTATTTCTGAAATGAGCTCAATAGGCACAAAAAAAGCAAAATTTTAATTAGTATGGGATTGTAAAAGTGATTATGCCATCATATTATTTCTAAAGGCTATGGTATTTAATGAGACATCACCTGATCTCTGCAGCTGAAATAGCTTCTGAAAGTCTTCCTTTATCAATTTAGCACTCAGTAGTCATAATTAATCCTCATGCCAATACTTAATTTCCTTTTTGTTAGAGAATGACATTTTCCAATAGAAGTCCAACAACAAATCTTCAACCAGCCCAAACCATAATAATAGACCATCTAGAAAACAACAGCACGCCCATGCTAGTTAAAACTTATTCTTCTAATAAGAATAAGTTCTATTCATCTAATAATTAATACAGTAGATGTAGATTATAAGGCATATTAAAAGCCTAGCAGCAACAATAGCCAGTTAATATAACTGTCTCATCAACAGTTTTTTCCCTCATTGGATACCGATAAATGTTTATATTTGCATTGCGAAACAACTTCTCTGGTCATGGTGCTATTTCCTTGATGTTTTCCTCCTATGAGTGCCTTCATCTCGCTTAAGGTTCCACCCTGCTGGGGCACTGCTGTAAGGTGTCCATGGCCTCATTTATCCCTCTCACTAACACAGCACGAAAAGTACCCACAAGTCCCTCAGTTCTAATCTGTAGAAAATGACTATGTGTTAATTCAAAATGTCACATTCGTCTATTTCCCATCAATGTAAATAAAGAAATAACCCGTGAAGGACCCAACTGAGTAACAAACACAAGCCCTGCCGTTCTCCGTGAGAACTCCTGCTGCCAAGCAGATTTCACCGCCAATTCTGCTGTGCCAGCCTGTGAGATTGATCTAAAGGTTAATTTCTTTTGGCTGGCAGATTATGTCAAAGGATGCAGAGGTGCAGTGAAAGAAGTCAAGCTTTGCAGGTCCTCCGAGCCTCAGCCTTGCATCCTCAAAAATCTTCTCAAGCCTGGCTCCTATTTGACTGAGCCCTCTGATCACATTTCTGACCGAGTAGTGTCTCCCTCTGATGGAAAGCCTTACATTTTACCTCAGCAGCCTTCTCCAATTGATTTTGTCCGTGGAGAATCTGATATCTTTTCCCTGCAGTTCAGGAGGGAAGAAGCATCAGATGGCCTCCTCACCATGCCGTGGCTTCTGTGCCGTCACACCAGGTGGCTGTGGCAGAACTGCCCCTTCCCCACAGAGCAGTATCAGCACTGCAAGGCGGGCTGCCATGCGGTTTGGGTCCTAATTCTACCTTCTGGTTTCCGTCTTGATTTAGAGCAAAAGTAAACCCTTACCCTATTGCACCAGCTCCCACTGCAGAACTTGTGGCCCCAATCTACACTGCAGATTTTGTTGCAGGCAGTAGATGGGGCCCCTTTTCTCGGGTGAATTTCACCATAATCATTGCAAGTAAAAATGTTTCAAATATCCTGCAATAACAAAGATTTTACTTTTTTTAAAAAATACATTATCTTAAATTGATCCAAAAATGAGCTCTTTACATTATTTTCCAAATTTTACTGAAAAAGTTGTGTCAATTAGTCTTGAATTCAATTTGTCCCTGATTTTGTTGGCTTTTTTTTCATCCCATGGCCACCCCACCAAAAATCCATTACACTGTCAGTAAGCTTGAAAGCTTGCTATCATATTATACAAAGCATAGCTGTTTATCCTGGCATGGTCAGCATGTAGTCAGGAACAAGTTCATGAGACTCTCATCCTTCAGGATTTTTAATGTGTCTTTGACTAAGAAAAGGCAGATTCAATTTCAGAATAACTACTTTTTCTGTTATTCATCATCATTAAATAGCAAGCAACTGACTTCAGGAGATCATCATGCCCTTTCAATAGTAGTCTCCTTAATCCACAGCTGCTGACATCTGCTTTTACAGTGGTTGGGTTACTTACATCAAAGAAGATAAGTACTAGCGATTCAATGGGAGTTGTTTCAGCCTGTTAAATAACTGCTATTATGTTCTGCTCCAGTGCCAGGTGACTTCACTTTTCAATTAATTTAAAAGATATTTCATATGCAATAATGACACATCTGCTTGGTTAGTATATCACTCCTAGGATTCATTTAACTTACAGAATGGACTCCTAACGATGGTTCTTCTTTCATTGATACCCAATATTTCTTATATACAGCCTAATAGCTTCTAGCCCTCTAAATGCTTAATTTTAGAAAATATCAGAACTGGAGACTTCAGAACTCCCGCAAGAAAACAAGCTCTGCTGTTCAGGCCGCAACACAACTAAGAGTGAATTATCTATGGAAATGTCTGTTTTCTTCCACTTCCCCAGCATGAGAAATGGCTGTAAATTACCTTAAATTCTTGACCTTGTGGCTTCAAGCCATCCATGCTGAACAAATTGCGATCAAGTGTATTTACCCTGTCAGGTTGCTTTAGGTTATGTAAAAATATCCATACTGCAGCAGAGCAAGGCTCCAGGAGGTCCTGGAGGCTTTCCAGTGGGTGCCAGTAAGACGGCAAGGGGAATGGCATGGGAAGAAGACAACCACGACAACCAACTCTGTGTTCTGTGTTACAGCCATCCAAGCTCTGGCAACCTGCAACTCAGGATCTTCTCAAAGTCTTGTCTACACCTTATTTTTCCCTGCCATGAATTTACTTGACTGACTTTAAATTGTCCTATTTTTTTGCCCGATTGTTATTTTGTAGGCTGTGCTGTAGATATTTGCATCTTCTACAGGTTTTAGATTTATATATTACCATGTCGAAGATTTTTAAAGAGCACCTTACCATTTGGCTTTTTGTAAGACTGGTACTATGTGCCTTTGTAAAACCAAGTCAAGAACAAATTTGGTTGAAGTTATTTCTTTAAGAGCCCAGTAGAAAGCACCCATGTAATACCTCGTGTTTACTTTCACCAAACATATGTAATGGCTTTTCCACCTAACACAAATGATTGGTACCTTTGTTGCATTGCTCATAGGCTTAAACATATACATTTTCAAAGTGTACCACTGACTTTAACTCCAACAATGCAAACATGGATAAACAATAAATGCACTTTTTTGCCATTTTGGAAGTGAACCTATTACAACAGAAAGCAAAATTGTCCTGACAACCTGTGAGATTCTGTAGTTTTTGTTTTACTTCCCTTTTTTATTGGAATAATAGAACTCGTGTTATCACATCTTCTCACATAACCACCAAATAATTTGTAACTGGCAAGTTAAAAATAATTAAACTTCATTCTTCATGTTCATGCTGCTTCACTTTCTAGGGAGACTGAATGATTTGTGCAGAAGCCTCCACCAAACTGACGGAAAAACGGTCAAGGCCAGAAACATCTCCAGGCTGGATGAGAGGCATATGCAGTCACAAGATGGCTGTGAGAATTGGTGTCAAGTGGCCCTGAAGCACATCTGCTACAGGAGTCAACACTGATGGAAAATCAGCAACTTCTGTAATACAACCATTGATGTATCCATGCCTGTCAGTGCATACTGCTTCTGACCTTGATATCCCCAATGCTGTAGTTGGTCTGGGCATCTTAGATCAATGCTTGATTTCTTTGTTTCACCTTCTTTTCTGTGATAGTGGGTCTATTCCAGGAAGTGAGTAGAGATAGGAAGAAGATAGCAGGAAGGGGTCATGTCACAAGGACACAGACACAGACCACTTGAAGAAGTAGTTCCTGTCTAAAAAAAACTTCCCTTAGAAATGTATCCAAGACATTGAAAGACAGAGAGGCATTGAGAAAACCCAACCTCTTTCATCTCTTCAGACGTATTTTTCCCCCTCTGTGAAATCAGTTTATTTTACTGCTGGTTCCTCATGCTTTGTGTTCACATGTAACACAGGCAGACCCAGCTTGAAGCAGAAGGAATAATGCAACAAGGAAGCTCGTCTCTCCTTTCTAGCCTTGGAAAAATTTGTATGCCTAGAGCATGCAATGAGGAGTTAATGAAAGCAGCTGCAAAGCTGAAAATGTGGGGGAAGTAGGCAAGAAAGGATTGGTTCAGTTAAGTACCTGCCAGGGGGCTGATGTTTGTGACAGGAGTATATATTTGAAAGACATAGCTGGATTCTGGGAAGGTTCTATTTTTCCAGGGCTGTTACAAATACACTCAAAGTCAGGAGAAAGCATGATCTGAAAGACAAGCTGTTGCCATCAGCTAGTGGCCAGAGTTTACATCACAGGCATGGAGGGAGTGATAGATTTGACTGCTGCAATTGAAGGTGGTCAGGAGAGAGAGGATGCTCTGATGCAGTTAGAAGCAGGTGATGAGCAGCCCTTTACACCTTAGAGCCAGCTGCTTCCAGACAGGCTTTGCTTCCTCTAATGCTACCTAGTAAACTCTTCTAATCGGGACACCTCTGTCAACACAGCCTCAGTCAGATGAAGAGGGAGACCCCTGTCAGCACAGACCCAGCCAGAAGAGGATAATGAGTCCAGAAATGCACCTCTCTCATACTACGTTGTGGATGAAAAATCATATGCTTCTACAGAAGATGCCTGGGCTTTTTTTTCCTGTTAGCAGTCTTTATAAATATTTCTTTGTT